TGTGAAAACATAACAAGTTGTGTTTTACCTTTTTAATGCATGATCTGAAAATTATATGAATCCTCTACATAAACTGCTAGAAATAACTGAGACATGACTCACAGTTGTAACCCAACACTTCAGAGTTGCCTTAGTAAGGATCTGTTGTATCAGAGAGCACTTGGCAGCAGAGAGGCTCAGGTGATCTGATGCAGGCCTAAGTAATAATTTAGGGGCATTAAGATATATGTGAGCTTATTTAAAACCACAAGCCTCTGGGGAGGCAGGCATGTTGTGATTCTCACTTTCAAAAAGTGGTTGTCTTTAGATTTACTGGTGGGCGGAAATCACAAATCAACTGTGTTCAGACTTAAGTTTCTTTGTCTTGGTCTGTTGTGGAAACGAATCAGTCAAAGCCACTGAAGACGCTTATGATTTAAATGGAAAATTGCCACAAGGTTGTAAATAACCATTAAAAATGTTTCATGCTTAAACGCTGACGCACCATTTGGCCCAGAAACGACCTTTGAAGACGCATGAAGCCCCTGAGGATGATGAATTGAGCTGATGGGGCAGGAGACTGAGAAGTACATATTCTGCAATTAGCTAAAGGCTCAGTCTGCAACACAGCCAACATCTGTGCTTTTAATGTCCAGAAAACACTGAAACGAATGGGTCCAATTGTGCTGTGAACCAACAGTGACCATCATCCTAATGAAGAGAAATGTTTTGTGTCCAGTTGGTCCCATGGTCTGTGGTGCATTCATTGCGTATACATTAGCACATATAGTAACTGTTAATAAAGTGGACCTTGGATAATTAGAAGCACACACACATGCTCCAATAAAACCCAACAACATTTTCCTTCCAGTAAAGCAGCCACAGCTACTACATTCATTAAACATGCAAAAAAAAGTCTTCCTAGCAAACTGCCCACATTACAATCTGATGTTACATAACGCCAATCACAGAGGTCTCCTCTGGTGTCAATTTGCAAAGCGAGGTTGCATTTCTCCACAAAGAGGAAATCCACAGTAACTCAATGCAAAATCAATTGTCGAGTTGACCGCCCTTGGTAAATCAAATCAAGACAAACACAGAGGCCTTTAATATTATAAGCAGGCAGCCTGAGGTGGTCTTTAAGGCCCACGTTGTCTGTTGTGCAGCCACTACACATGAGCTTTTAGGACCTAATTCAGTAAGCAGTCTGACTAAAGAGAGATCTGATTTCACAAGGGGGAGGCAGCAGAGACTGAAGGTGAGCTGTCGGGCCACTGGAGAGAGGGCTCACAAACATCAATACACACACACACACACACACACACACACACATTCAGGAACATGTACCCAGACATGTCCATTGTCCATTCATCCATCCAGAAAACACATTGTCTGGGCGCTTAGCTTTACCTCTAAGTAAAAAGCAATTTGGTCTTTGCAAACAGAAATGACATCTATCTATCTATCTATCTATCTATCTATCTATCTATCTATCTATCTATCTATCTATCTATCTATCTATCTATCTATCTATCTATCTATCTATC